AGCCTTCCTTGGAGTGGATATAATCTCTACATAATTGTTTTCCCTTGTGTTTGTGAATTTGGCCTGAGTGGTCTACAGAAAAGCTTTAATATAAGACTTAGTTGTTTAGCCTTCCTTGGGGAGTTGCCACAGACGTAAATCTATCCATCCATTGTCAATAACATGACCTCTGTGACCTCTGTGACCTAACCCTTTGTCCAACCAGCTCAAAACACATTCTCAATTACACTTCATCACACAATGATACCCGGAATCCACTTCCTCCCATAATATCATTATCTTCCTCAGGAACACTTAACTCTCTCGTGCTCCACAGTGCTTCAACATTCATATAAATAATGCACTGAGGGAACAACACCTGATTGGCAAGATGGAGGATTAATCAGATCATCAATACTCCAATGAGCCCCCTATCTTCATTATGGTTACTGAGGTAGAACAATGATCAATTGACTCTTAATTCAGTTCATATTATAGTGGGAGCACTGGAAATGTCTCATGTGTCAAAAGCAATCAGAATGAGCTCTGGCATTATAAACCCAGCCGCTTTTAATCAAACTATTCATATCTTACACTGCACTGTAACTCTTATTCATGTATTTTACACCTGTGTTATTCTATATTAGCTTGTTTTTATGTATATTTGTTTATCAATTGCACCAATCTGTCTACATTCAAATCTCAAATCAAAACTCACCTCGTCAGAACTGCTTTTAATCTCTTATTATCGTTGTGTTTTATATATTTTAAGTGTGTTGTTTTTATGAATTTTAGCATGTAAAGTGTCTTTGATTACCATGAGAAGCGCTCCATACATAAAATGTGTTCTTATTATTATATTTTAAATGCAAAGACAATATATTTTATTGTGTTTGCTGTTAAATGACTGTTTTTAAATGCCGTTTTATAATCTGATTCTGCTGAACTAATTCTTAAGGCCCTTGACGGTTTTTATTTTTTGTAAAGCGCTTTGAATTGCCTTGTGTTGAAAGATGCTGTCTAAATAAACTTGTCTCGCCTTGAGATAGTGAAAGTGGATCTTGATGAATGAAGGGATGAGTGTTTACTTTTCCCATTTTGAATAAGGAATGTAATGCCACTGTTGGGAAATGGGGAACTAACTTGAATTAATCATTTAGGGACAATGAGCAAAACACCAGGCTGGAAAAACTCATATTCATACTCAAAATACTTCAAAATCTGCTCAAACATTGTAAGTCAACCTTTTGAGAGACTTTATGAATCACCTGACCATAACAACATCATCTCTGACCCCAACCATGTTGTAGGAGTCAAAATGATTGTTTTGCCATTGATTATTATTTCTATTATTATCTTCACACTACATAAACAGAAAATATATATTGCCAAAAACTAGAAATCTTGCCAAGTATATTTGTCTAATATCTAGTCAGAATATGTCTTTACACCTGATATAAGACACAATCATAAGTAACACTGCAGTGAGATATCGGGTCTTGTTTTTAGACAATGCATCATCTTGTTAAGTCAAAACATCTTATTTTGAGTTGCATCTCAGATGAAACACATATTTTTTAACTAAGATCAGAAAACAGAACACTTTTGAGCATTTGTGGCTTATTTTGTAACACAACATTTCCTGAATCTGGTCAAATATAGTTCAAAATGAGTTCTCCCAGCTAATTACAAGATCTGATTTATCTAAATATCCCTTCTTATTTCAATAAATCTTACCAAGCTAATTTTCACTTGTTCTATTGGCAGAGTTTTGTACTTATTTCAAGTGAAAACAGCTTGTTTTCATTATTGTTTCACTTGTTTTTGGAGCAGCTTTTTTTCCAGTGCATTTCTGTTTGCACCTCGTTTAATTCTTATTGGTTATCACTTCCGGCAATTGTCACGTGAGTGTGGTTTATTGGTATTTAGCTCACCGGTTGCCGGATGCCGGTTTTGGGTGTATGACAAAGAGGAGAGGGTGAATTGCTCCGGAGTTAGATATTGTTTGTTTTTGTGTCGTTATTACAACACCATGAACTCTAATTGACTACGGTAGGGGTGTCAAAACTACGGCGCGGCGGCCAAATGCGGCCCGCGGGACATTTTGAATCGGCCCTCAGCAAATAAAAAAAGTATAATGGAATACGGCCCACGAATGAAACTTGAGCTTTTCTTGTATTGTACTTCTTAAATATATCTGTACACATATATTACACAGTAGTGTTCATGTGTTAATAAGCCCAATTTACAATAAATTCAGTCAATTCAATTTGAAAATATGTTCTAACAAATCTAAGTCGATAAGAAAAAAGCCCAATAACTTATATACATAACAACCTTGAAATATACCCTTCATATTTCCTCTTATGATAATCAATCTGGGGCTCCTGTTGTGCTGAGGGGTGAGCTGCTAACAAATTAAATGAAACTCTCTGGGGCTGTTGTATCAAGCATAATTGACCTACATTTGATTGATTTTGCTAACTTATAACGCATCACAGCGAAGAGCAAGTTTTAGCCTCTCAGCGGCATTACTCATGGGGAGTTTTTGCTGCTACACATGTCCTGAACAGTGAATATGAATTGTTACCATCTAACCGGAGATACAGGGTCCCACGATTTAATAAAGTGAGACTGAAGCTCTCCTTTGTGTACCAGTCGATCCTACACTCTTATGCTGCGTTCACACCGGACGCGATGCGATTTTTGGGGGCGGCGCGATTACATGTAAAGTCAATGCAGAGACGCGGACAGACGCAAGTGGAGGCGATTGAAGGGGGCCGCGTCAAATTCATGTGACACATTCTCGCGAAAGCCAATCAGCATTGGGATTCCCTCTGACGTCCCTCTGACGTCCTGCTGTTGATCAGTTGTAAAGATGGAAGAGATGATCGTTGTGGTTGTGAGTGGGTTCCCGGAGATTTACGATACAATGTCGTATATCTACCGGGACCGCAACAAAAAGGAGCTGGCTTGGAGGAGAATAAGAACCCAGACATGACGGCGTTTGTTGCTACGTTTGTAGGACTTCCACAGAAGGTACAAAGCAGCAATAGTTGTTATGTCCTCCATAGTCAAGGACAGAAATAACCAAAACGATCTTGCATGGAAGTGTAAACGACCTCAACTGTCCGTCAACGGCGCGGCGCGTCATTGGTATGTCTGTTTTGAATGACGCAATAAAACAAACTGCAAGCCGCGGTGAAACTTGAGCGATTGGAGCGATGCGAATATTTGCATCGCGTCCGGTATGAACGCAGCATTAGATCCAAAGTCAAATGTACATTAGAGTGTCTGGAACAAGTCGTTTTTTAAGTGATTGTTAAATGTTAGTTTTTCCTTGTATCGTGTCTTTATATTTCTCCTTGTTCGATGTTGCAAATGGAGCTGCTGTGATACAAGAGAAATGTCAGACTTGATCTGAAAATGATATATCATTGTATATTTAGTGAGAATGCACAACAGTATTTGTTAACTTCACCTAACAGCACTGTGAGTGAATGGTTAAGGGGGCGAGATAATGACGGAGAGCAGGTGCGATGTGTGTGTAAAATGAAGGACGAAGGTGAATTATGTTTCAAAGTCAGAGCAGCCGTAATGTCCATGGGCAAGATCAAGCGTAATTACAAGAAACACAGCTCATCGTCCGGTCAGGGAAATGAATTAAACATGATTTGAATTAATCACAGTCTGCGTATTCACTGATGGAGCTGTGTCCTCTTTGTGGAAGCAACAACATCTAGGCATCTTTATTTGGAGGTTGTTCATATCTGCATTCTTTAATACATCCCTTTTTTTGGTTGTTTTTTATGTCTATCTCTTTGTTGTATGAATGTCTTTGAGGTCATGTTGGATCTTATCGTTGTCAGTTATCGTCTTTATGTTCATTTTGTGTCTCTTTTGCATCTCATTATGGTCAGTTTGCATCTATCTGAAGTCGTGTTGTGTCCCTGTGTTCAGCTTCTATCACTTTGTAGTGGTTTTGCAGAGGTCATTTACCATCTCGGTTTTTCCTGAATCACAGTCTGCGTATTCATTTTCTGTTAATGGAGCTGTGTCCTCTTTGTGGAAGCAACAACATAGGCATCTAGATGTGGATGTTGTTCATGTCTGCAATCTTTTGTGGTTTTAACCGCACAGAGGAATAGTGGATCATATGGAGTGATGTATTTAAATATCATTCCCTGGCATAAAAACAAATGTATTACTGTGTTTGGCACTTGAACTGTTTCTGCTCCTACTTAGAGCAGCTTATAATACAGCTTTAATCTCAGGGTGCACGACATGTGCAATGGTGGTTCCAGATCAATTCTTCTGCAGGTGGCCATGCAGTTATTGATGAGAAATGGGGAACATTTAATGCTGGACAGGAGCTCAAAAACCGTGTTAAAAATGTTAACTTTTCAGTAAAGTCATAGCGCACAATAAAACCTAAAATACCATTATTGTTTTCTGACTTTGTAACGATTTTAGTTTCGTTACTTACCTTATCTTTGACCTAAATGCAGTTTGGGATAATAAATACTTTACTTATGCAGCCAAAGGTTGTTTTTATTGTATTTCTTAATATTTGTTGGTATTTGTTTTTAGAAACAGAATTTGTTTGAGTAATTTAGATTCAATTTATCTAAATACATTACTAAAAAAAAAAGAACAGGTTATAGCACAGTATCAGTTGCTATGGTTTCAGAGTGTCCTCCTGACTCTTTTATGGTGTTTTATTGTATTGGTTATTTGTATTTTTACTGTCTTTTGGTTATATTTCACGTTTTGACTTTTATACTTTTCTGTAATTTTAATTATCTTTTACATTGTCATTAATGTTGTTTTTTGTGATATTGGACTATATAAATAAACGTTGATTTTATTTCATTTGACAATTCAATTCACTTTTGGAGGGGGGCCACAGGGGGGTCCAAGCACAGAGTTACCCCCCTAGAACCGCCCATGCTTCATGCGTAATGTTGTTACCAGTGCAAATTGACAGGCTTTCTCTAGTTGCTATAACTTTGCCAACTTACCTATCGACGCTGATCACACACAGGGTCATGATGGAGGCAGTGCAGCACATTACATCCATGGCGATGAAGATGTTGCAGAACACCTCTCCAAAAAGCCACTTCCCCCCGGTGAGGTCTGTCACTATCACAAAGGGCATCACAGCGATGGCCACGGACAGGTCGGCCACTGCCAGAGACACCAGAAGGTAGTTTGAAGGTTGCCTCAGCTTCTTCACCACGCACACCGCGATCACCACCAGCGTGTTGCCCATAACGGTGACCGCTGTGATGATGGCCAGCATCACCCCGATGATGATCTTCTCCGGACGCCCGAAATCCTGCAGCTGTTCCCCGCAAGACTCGTTCCACATGGCCGTGGGACCAACGATGGTGAAGGCGTCGTACAGAAGCTGCAGAGAGCCATTGATAACTTCGGAAATATCCTCCTTCTTGGTAAAAGTGAGCTCAATTCCCGAAGTATTGAACATCACGACGACGTTATCCCGCATGGGTAGCAAGGGACGCCTCGCAAGTGCACTCCAATTACGCGCATATTTGGATGAGTGGAACCTGGTGTCTGTCCAGCGGTGTTAGACGGAGGCTGTTGCAGCAGCTCCTCCACATCACAGTTGCCAACAACTCACTGAGACGTCTTGGCTGTTTAAGAATGAGCTACATGGAAATCCAAAACTATATAATATTAAAAAAAAGTTACACCATCAAATCATAGCTGCTCCCGATGTGCTTGTTTCCCGAGCTCAGTAACCGGACAAATGAGGAGTATTTGGGGAGTTGCGCTGTGCAAACCGCACCTATCCATGTGACGCATCACTGAGGCGCACAGCCCACCGACTGGAGAGGAAGCATGAAGGACACGGCAGAGGTTTCAAAGTGGATTTAAGGGAGCTCCAAGCGTGCAAAAGCATGAATAATTTCATGTTTTTGTTTTACATTCTGGCACAGGGTTTAGTCTCCAAACTCACCACCTGACAACTCAATTTAGAATATAGTCATCTTACAAAAAAGTTACATGATGTTTATTTTTTCTGTGCAATACCACTATATATATTCTCCTCCTTTTTGGACACATACAGTAAATGTTACATGTGACAGATGTGTGTTTGAAAACCCTTTAAGCCTTTTTTGGAGAAACACAAATAGTGCAGCAAAGTTTGGTTTTAAAAAAAGAAATCCCAGATTATAAGGGAGCTCCAAGCGAGCAAAAGCATTAATAATGTAATGTGTTTTTTTACATTTGGGCACAGGATTCCCTCTCACCCCCTGACAACAATATTCACTCATCGTAGAAAAGCAGTTACACGATGGGTTTGTCTTCTGTGAAGTGGTATCATTTTAACGTTTTCTATTTCTATTACCACAAATATCTCACACAATATACCACTCTCACATCTCATACTCCTTTTTGGACACATACAGTAAATGTTACATGTGACAGATGTTTGTTTGAAAACCCTTTAACCATTGTGTTGTGTTCGAAAGCTGTTACCGTTCATGGTGTTCGCGGGTCAATTTTGAGCCATGATTTATCTCAGTCCAAAACACTCCAAAATAATGACTATAATCCAATATTGTTTTAACTACATCATAACTAACTTATTATGCATTCATAACCGTACAATCCTGTTGTAATTTCATGTTATGGCCCAAAACACATTACACCACATATTGCACACGTGCATGTGTGAGTTCAGGTTCAAGTGTTATTGTACATATTCTTTGAGAAAGGTTGAGTTCCCGTGGGGGGAGGGGGGCAGAGGGAGGGGAGACCAGGTGCATGTTGCGTAAAATTATTGTTACAGTGGATGAAGGGGGTGGGGGAGGGGCGTCTAAAGTCAAAGATGAATCTTGATTGGGCCAAATTTGACCCCGAGTGACCCAAAACAATGCTGCTGGGTCTCCCCAGACCCCAACACCAAATTATACACTTTTTTTTTAGAGACCTTCAGACTTGGCTACAATTGTCAAAATCTGTTTTGCAGTGTTTATATAGCTGTTGTGGAGGATATCATGAAGCCTTGTTGCGTTTAAAACTAGAGCGTAGTTATAATATCATTTTAACTTGAAACGGGTCACGGGAGACCCGAACACAACATAAGGGTTAAGACTTTTTTGGGAAACATAAATAGTGCAGCAAAATTTGCTTTTATAAAAAGAAATCCCAGATTATAAGGGAGCTCCAAGCGAGCAAAAGCATTAATAATTTAATGTTTTTTTACATTTCGGCACAGGATTCCCTCTCAAAACTCACCCCCTGACAACTTCATTTACAATATTCACTCATAAAAGCAGTTACACGATGGGTTTGTCTTTTGTGAAGTGGTATCATTTTAACGTTTTCTATTTCTATTACCACAAATATCTCACACAATATACCACTCTCACATCTCATACTCCTTTTTGGACACATACAGTAAATGTTACATGTGACAGATGTTTGTTTGAAAACCCTTTAAGTCTTTTTTGGGGAAACATAAATAGTGCAGCAAAGTTTGTGTTAGGAAAATATCACTCGACACCGGGTTGAAAATCAATAGTCAGGTACTAATTTATTCTTGCAAAAAGGAGCAGAGTCACATACAAAGGATATGGTTCAACTCACACACATGAGGTAGTGGAGGCGTGTGGCGCAGTGGGTAGAGCCTTGGTGTTCGGATCAGGGGAGCACAGGTTCAAACCCCACTGCAGTCAGCATGTCGTTGTGTCCCTGGGCAAGACACTTCACCCCAAATTGCTCCTGTGGGGATTGTCCACAGTATTGAGTATGTAAGTCGCTTTGGATAAAAGCGTCTAACAAGTGACATGGAATGTAATGTAATGTAGTGAGGTATGCTGCTCAAAGGAGCAGGAAGTAACATCAAGCTTATATAGTCTAAAGTCAGGAGGTACCAAACAGTGTCGTAAATCGGTTTGGCGTCGGGACATCTCTGTGTTGCTCTTTGCCCCTCAAAGAGGAGAGGAGACAAAGTGTGTCTGCTCTCGTTGGAATCAACAACATGAATTATGCCCTGCCTTCTCCACGAAGAGGCAGCTGCAAGGTCACAGTGCAAAGTCACACACAGTATCATGCCCATCAGAAAGCCCATAATAAAGAAGACACCTTGTATTTTCTCCAATCAATCAATCAATCAATCAATGTTTATTTATATAGCCCAATATCACAAATGTTACATTTGTCTCAGTGGACTTCCAACAGTTTGCTTTAAAAAAAAAAAGAAATCCCAGATTATAAGGGAGCTCCAAGCGAGCAAAAGCATTAATAATGTAATGTTTTTTTACATTTGGGCACAGGATTCCCTCTCAAAACTCACCCCCTGACAACTTAATTTACAATATCCACTCATCGTAGAAAAACAGTTCCACGATGGGGTTTCTTCTGTGCAGCCATATAATTAACGTTTTCTATTTCCAAAGATATCTCACACAATATACCACTTTATATCTCCTCCTCGTTTTTGGACACATACAGCACATGTTAGATACTGTATGTTTGTTTAAAAACCCTTTACATCTTTTTAGATTGGCTTTTTATTAGCTCGTGCAGTAAAGTTTGCTTTTTTTTTTAAAAGACATATTTTCCCCACACATGCATCTCGGATTCAAAGCAGACACAGGAAATGGACCTCATGGCGTTTTGCCAGCGCTTCTAACAAGCAAAAAAAAAGAAAAGCTGTCTATAAATATAACATCTCAGTCAAAGTCCACTCTGTTGTAAATGCCTTTATTTTGTGCCGAAGCCTTTCTTGGTTGCCTTGGCTCCTCAGACGTACGCTCTGAAGACAAATGAACAGAGAGTCGATGGGAACATGCGGGAAAGCGTCCCAGGGTTTTGGCTGCTTGCATCAGGCAGAAACATCTGTGCTGTGTTTGTTCCCCCCTGGCTCTGTTCTTCTTTCCATTTTGTTCTCATTTTTTCTCTTTTCTTCTCTTTTTCCATTAATTCAATTTTTTAAAATTTGTTTCCTTTTCGGTCCTTCTTTCAGTTTTTCATTTTTTCCTAATTTTTTCTAATTTTTACCAATTTTTTCTATTTCTTTTCCAAATGTTCTCAATTTTATTTTTTTTCCTTTTTGCCATTTTCCGACTATTATCCTTTTTTTCATTTTCTTTCCCTTTTTTCGCTTTTCCCCTTTTTAAAATGTTTCCCTTGTTTCCCTTTTTTCTCTATTATTTACATACTGTATATGAGCATCATACATTTTGTAAACAAACAAAGTTGACATCAGGGGTGGACATCAAAAAGGACATTAAATAAATAAAGACAAAAACCAAGAAATTATATAAAGTCAGTTTAATATTTCAGATAAAATATTTGTTAAATACACAATGTACAATGTCTTCATCCTGGAGATATACTGTTTGTCCTGTTTTCTTTTTTTTAAAGACCAAAACCTTCTAGAATACATTCAGTCATAGAATAAAGGACACATCGTTTCTTCTTGTAAATTACAAAAAGAACAGGAATATTCAATATCAAGTCTGTACAATTTTGAAGAAAACCTATTTTCTTTCCCCAAAAATGTGTTTCCAATTAACTACATTTCTTTCCAATTGATCTCTCCATAACGTGAAGCCCAGAATAATCTCCCTTCAGTTACACTTTGTATGCCATAATGTTCCCCTGTCTCTGTGCTGTTTCCCACAATGCCCTTAAAGCCTGTCATCACTGCCCCTCCCCCCACATGCTAGCCGTGGCCTTTTAGTCAGCACTACCTCCTGCTCCGTCAGACAGACAGGTCAGTGATGATTGTCACATCGCATTAACGCCACTGACCCTCCGCTGTCCTACTTACACTCACAATATTACCTAAGAAGTCAGAGGAGATTTGAGGCAACTTCTCAGGGCTTATGCAAAGCAACCTGTCAACATGTGAGCATCTCTCAGGCCCTCTGAGGGTCTTGTAATGAGAATGGTTAAATAGGTACAATTCAGAGGTAAATGGTGTACTCTTACTCCACTACATGTATTTAATACCTTTAGTTACTTTGCAGATTTGTTTTGGACTTAAGTATATTGTAAACTGCTCTGTTACAAGCCTTCAGATGTTCTTTGCCAACAAGTATGCTGTAGATATTGTGCACAAAGCCTTTGAATCTAAAATCTGTGAATCTTGAATCATCCCGTTTTACATTTAACCTGAATTTGTAGCAGCATGTCAATGACGTCTGGATGTTTACATGTCAGAACACACTGCGTAGGTCTTATCTAAACATGCTGCATTTGACATGACAGGTAAAGCCGTTGATTTGTATGCCGTGATATGATCTGACATAATGTTATCGTTATCGTTCAGTAATCTGAAGTGAAATGTCTTTAGATGGAGATTCAGCTGAAGGCAGACAGGTGGAAGGTGTCCCTGCTTACTGGCCATAGGGAAAATAAACATTGTTTATGTCGTTTTCCTGGCTGTAAATTGAGGATTTGCGAAATTAACCTTAATAAAGTGTCACCATCAGGTGTGCAGCAGCAAGCGGCTAATTTCATCAAAATGCAATAGAGCAGCAGAATAGGAAAACACATTTGTTTCCAAGTACCAAATGACAC